CATGAGTGGCAGGTGGCTGAATTTTACGGAGACTTGCCACGGTCTCCAACCCTCCTCCTTTGTCATCCGGACTTGGGACCGGCCAAGGCGGAGTTTGTTCTGGATTTTCACAGTTGAATTCGGAACAGTACGACGGGCCCGAAGTTTCGTTGTGTTTAATTTATACACTTGTTTTTGTTCATTCATAGCGATATGTTTGTGTTTGTGACAATTTCAAGGTAGGCACAGGCTAGATCATTAGGCAGAAAGTCATAGTTGATTATTCGAAAGTAAATCGTCGTCGTTTGGATTGTTTGTAATGTTCATAGAGTAAAATCATTCATCTGGCAGCACTGTAGTTGAGATAACGGCTGAGAGATGATGTATGGTGTGCTAAAGATGAGTGACTTGTCGAAAAAGTGTTTTGTGCAGCTTAGGATTGATGACTGAGAAGTAATGGAAACTACTCCAAGAATTTTTACGCCTGGGAAAATGCTCAGCTGCCGAAACCGCTCCAACGTACGAAAAGCATTTATGTTGTGGGTGGCATGAAGATCTTGAAAAAACTTCGAGCGAATCCGAGCCGGTGTTTTAGTCTGGTCTGGTCTTGTTCAGACCAAAATGAAATGTGTATATGCTCTGGATTCGCGGTAAGGACGGTAAAGAGTTGTAGAGGTTGAAAATGTAGCCTGTGATTCATAGCCCAATTATAGATTGCAGCCACTCACTGGTGCACATACTCAGACATGCTTTCATTGAAAACTGGTTTTTTAACTTGTAAATTTAAGACTTTATTATTCCTTTTTTCCCTTATCTTTTCAGAATCAATATGTGGCGAATGCTTATTGGCATCATACTGAACATTTGGTTTCATTGCGTTTTGTGGGTCTTTATGTTCATAAACATGTTCAGGTCTAAGCGATATGTCTCGGCTTTGAATGAAAGCGTTCTGCAGTTGAGTGCAAAAAAGTTAGCGATCAGCATCAGGAGGAGACACGTAAGTGACTTTGTAGAACATGTAGTGTTTATGTATCAGTTTTTTCCAGTTGACTTCGACTGGCCTCGTTGAAACGTACATACGAAGAATTAACCAGGTTAATCCGGAGATACATGCAGTGGTGGCGGAAAATTTTGAAAACGCTTTGTTGGAAGCCGACAGAGTCGATCAGATTATTGCGTCAGGAAATGCGCCCTCCGAAACAGAGGCCCCTTTCCTCGGTGTTCCTTTTACCGTAAAAGATTGCGTTTTCGTCAGAGGTGAGTTTTCCTTTATTGTCTGACTTGCCGTTAAGTTGTTTTTGTGGTATTCAGTTATTCCTTCAATGTATTTCTCGCAGAGTCTTTTATTCCAAGGGTCAGTATTAAAAAATACAAATGAACACTTCTCATCCTAAAGCATTTTTAATCACTGTAAACAGTTCAGGCATAGTTGCAGACTTAAACACATTGAGCTCTGACGTTAAAGATAAAGCGGTAGAATTCTTATTGCTATGCCATATAAATCTGCAGGCTTAGCTTGCGTTTCGGCAAGATCATAAGATGTGCACAAACGGCAAAAACATTATAAAAAGCAAGACAAAATGCTACATAGCACAACTTACCATTTAAGCATCGCTGTTAAAGTTATCAGCGGAAAGCTCTCGTTTCTTCAGGGGGTTAAAGCTGACGTAATGAAGCAGAGATGAATAACTCGATGTACAACTCTGGCAAGAGTATATGCTGGAAAATTTGGAACGGTTTGCTGATGTAACGTGAGGTTCTAGCAGGCTGTGAAGGGAATGCTTTTAATTCAATAATATTGAGTGACAGAAACATGGAGAAGACGCGACAGATTAGAGCAATTTGCGAATTCCTAGTTCCTTCCTAGAGTTTATATTAAGATTTATACTAAAAGCAGGTTGCTTTAAGGCATTCTGGATCAGTGTGAAATATTGTTTTCGACGCAGGGGAAAATTGCAGGAAAGGCGTAGAGAAACAGTGAAACAGCACTGATATAAGCCAAATATTTCATAGTTGCTGAAGGGACTCTAAGTCTATGAAGTCCCAAGTTGAAGAATGAGACTTCTCTAATTTCGGTGCATCAGAAGAACATTGGCTCATGGCACTTAAGCAGGTTCGAAATGCGCACTCCAAGATATCGTTTCAAGCCAGCGGTATCCAGC